CAGAGGGTGTACCACCCCGACTACAACAACGAGCTCACCCAGTTCCTGCCCCGCACCATCGTCCTGAAGAAGCCGCCCGGGGCGCAGGTGAGACCCCGCTTAACCCCCTCCCCGCCCCCGCGGACGCGCTCCGGCCTGGCGGGTTCCGCCACGCAGCCCCACGGGCTCCGTGGGGAGGTACAGGTCTTTTCCCCGGCCTGGCGTTTCCCGTGTTTATTTCACGGCCGTCCTTCCCAATACCTTTCCTGGCAAAATTCAGCTGATACAGAGGTGCGGGGTGACGCTAATCCCCAGTTGACGGCATCCTCCTAGCAAGACAGTGTGCTGAGGGCAGCCGGGGGGGGGTCCGGCAGGTTCCTGGTGCTTTCCTCATCCAGGGATCTGGTAGGACGGCTGGGGCATTGCTCCTGTCCTGCTGGGAAGGGCCGTGCCATAAAGAGAGAAGAAAACTTTGTGGGTGAGGCAGAGAAGTGCAGTATATTGGGGTGTGGAGCTGCTCAAAGGACGGGGAGCAGGGGGTCCCTCAGGCATTGAAGGTGAGATTGCCACAGAATGTAGCAGAAGGGAGTGGTGCTTCCTGCTGCCTGGCTGAACGCTGCAGCACCAACACCTTTGCTCCATCTGGAAGAGACATGTTAGCAGTGGGAAGGGTCCTGGGCTAAAGGGGGTGACTGCATTTCACTGCTGGTTTCTCTCACAGCTGGGCTTCAACATCCGAGGAGGAAAAGCCTCGCAGCTGGGGATCTTCATCTCTAAGGTGTGTCTGTCCTTCTGCCGTTCCCTCCCCGTGTTCTGTCTGTTCCCTTGGGTGTTGCTGAGCCAGCTGGGCGTGCATGGAGACTGTCATGTGCCTTTTATGCACCTCCGAACTCATAGCTGTAATTTGCCATGCACCAAGCAGCAATCAGACAGTCCTGTGCCATTTCCTGATCTCTCCCCAGCCCATGAAGTGTTGCTGGTGCACTGCAGTCCCCGCTCCCCATCCTCCCCAGTCCTGTGTGAGCACTGGATGGGCACTGGGGGGAGGCTCTGGGGCTGGGCTGTCTTGACTGCGCAGGAGGGGAGCTGCAGCAGTGGCCGAGCCGAGAGTCACTGCTGCTGTCTCTGCTCTTCCCTTCACAGGTGATCCCTGACTCGGACGCACACAGAGCTGGGCTGCAGGAAGGGGACCAGGTGCTCTCGGTAAATGATGTGGATTTCCAGGACATTGAGCACAGCAAGGTGAGCACTCCTGCGGCCCAGCTGCTGGAGAAGGGACAGGATGGGGAATCCATGCACGTGCCATCTCCTTCTGGCTTCTCGGCCTGCATCAACTCAGCTGGTGGCACCACATAACCGATGCATTCCTCTTTCTTATCCTTCAGCCTAGTCCGGTCACTGAGCAACTCTTTCTGCTTTCAGGCCGTGGAGATCCTGAAGACAGCCCGTGAAATCACCATGCGCGTGCGTTACTTCCCCTACAGTAAGTGCCCTCTAGCTCCGAGTCTAGTCGCCTAACAGCATTTCTCCTTGGGAAGCAGACTGCCATGCGTCCCTGCTGATTCCACCTGAGCTCAGTGGTTATGAGTCTAAGGTCGTAGACAGCGTTAAGCTAGCAGCCTGCAGATCAGAAAGAACATTGGACTTTGATTTGGGGATCAGGACAGCTACCAAATCTAAATAGTAAGGACTGGCTTCATTTGCCTGCATAGAAAAACTTGTAGAGCAGGGCTTAGCAACACAATGCCAAAAGGTGGGATGATTGTTGGATGGAAGTGTTAACGTGCGAACTGTAGAAGCAGCTACTTATCCTTGAATAACACAGGAATTAGTTCTGTCACTAGTGGACCTATATGCCGATGGTGGACACTGCTTGTGGTTTTTATCCCTCCCTAAGGATGTTTAAATTCTGATTGAGATTATATTAACTCTTGGTTTCTGCACCCATAAAGTTCATAGATGTAAGGGTGAGGGGTGAGAACAGGAGTCAAGTCAAGCCAAAGAAAGATTCCTCGTGAAATGGAAACTGACCCTTAAGTGAAGAAAAAAGAAAAACAGGGAGCAGGGCAAGAGAGGACTTTAAACAAACTTTTGTTCTAAATGCCCTGAAATAACCGGCTGGGGTGCAAATGTGCTATTTTAAAGCCAGCTGCTACCCAAGAGGGTAGCAAACACTGCCTCTACTTAGTGATGTATAAACAGAATATATGTTTTCCTTTAACATTTTGCCTAATTCCCCCTTGTCATCAGTGACTGCCTCCCCTGCCCTTTCAGCCTTGCCTTCTCTTTCCACAGATTACCAGAGACAGAAGGAAAGAACTGTTCACTAGTAGGCAGCTGTCTGCTGGGTCTCCAGAGTGGCCATCCTGCAAAAAACTCTCCACTACTTTTCCTCAACATCTGAGATGACACATTTCAGCAGTCAGTGGAGGTACAACTGTCCTGTTGGCTGCACAAGCATCATCTCTGTTTCCTGGGTGGAGGGATGCCAAAGGAGTCTTAATTTAGCTGGAAGATGGATGGGGCTTTAGTCTATACTCCTTGAACTGGGTGTTGAAACAAGCTGATGGTGCTGATGTGGAAATGGGTACCGGAGGGCAGCTTCTCCGGCAAGATCTGTGCTTCTGTTCTAGCAGGACTTAAATTAAACGAGTGCTCTGCTGGTTCCAGATCCAACCCTTGTTGTGAGATATAAGGCCAAGAGGGTCTGTGCGTGCTTGAGCAGAGCATGGCCTTTGTCCTCCAAGAAATCAACCTGTTCACTTCTCTGGTGACATGAAATTCTTTCCTTCTCCGCTGTCTTACCTCTGCTCTACACTACTGGGTTTGCTTGGGACTCGAGAAACAGGAGTAAAATCCACTCAAGCTCAGTGCACATCTCTAGCTGCAGTAGTCTGCTAGGGCATGTTTGTACCTCCTTGCTGCTTAACGACCCCCATGATACAGGACCAAGAAGTTTGGAGGATGTGTCTGAGCTGCTGCAGGCGTTTGGCCAGGTTCCCTCAGCTGTGGTGCTCCCACACTTAAGGTGTTCACTCACTGAACCTGCTTCCTTCACTTGGCACCGCCCTGTCCCTGTCACATGCTCCCATCAGAACTCCCTGCCACTTTGAGGTAACGTTCTCCCCTTCCCTGTCCTCCAGGAAAGGGGAGGAAGTCTGTTGTGCCCAGCGCCGGGAGAGCACGGATAAAATCATGCTAGTTACCACCAAAGCTGGGTGCAAATGCGTGGTAGTATCACGTTGTAAACAGCATCAGGACAGCCCTTGCTCTGGCCTTCTGTGTGGTGTTTTCCACTTATCTGTAATAACTGAAATAATAAACTGAGTACAGCAACCAGAATTCATCTTATTCCCACTCAGGAAGTCTCTGTGGAGGGTTGGTTATTACCATCCTCAGCACCACCCCGAGGAAATGCTGGGCAGAGAGCTGGGACAAGGCTTGGCTCCAGCTGCCCTTGCAGCCTGTAGGAGGAAAGTGAGGGGCCCACGCAAGGTGCAGCTCTTGTTTTAGGGGTTTTTTGACTGAGTGTGATGGAAGTCAGCCCTTGATTAGCCTGGAGCGGTGTTTCAGCGCTGCCAGGAGTAAGAGCTGCAATGGAGGATTTTGTCTGTGGTGGCACGAATGCAGCTTGCTTGAGACAGCCAAGAGCAGCAGCCCTAACACAGCTTCCGCACTGCCAGCCAGATTGCTTTTAGCTCAGCCGCTGGGCGGAAAGCAGAGCCAGGCTGAAGCAGAATAAAACATACTAGAAAAGAGACACTCACTCAGAATTAAAAAAAATAGCTTTTCTACCAGGGAGATAAGCATCCTGGAAGCCTCACTGTAACACCCTGAGAAGGTAAGAGCTCTTTTATGGAGACAGGCCTTTCACCTCTCCAGTCTCACACCAGTTTCCTGCATTTACTTGTTCCTCGGAAGGAGGATGCTGAGGTTGCAGCAAGGCAATGTTTCATACTGCTCGGTCCTCCCTCCTCCCCCCTGTTGTGCTCAGACACGCCAGGGTGAAGGTTTAGTGGGCATTCCCTAGCTGCAAAGCCAACCCTGTGCTCTGCCTGGTGGAAGACACCCATCGGGCTTTTGGCACACAACCTAACTGCCAAGGAGCCAAGAGGCACCTTGAACTCTCTCCACAGGGGACTGCAAATATAACCTCAACGTTCAATCTTAATCCTGCTTCAGAGCAGTCCCTTCGCAGGAGCTCCAGGAAGATCTCCCCTGCCTAGGGCAGCTTCCTCCCTGCCATTACTCAGAGGTAATAAGTAAGTGAGGTGCCTTCGTAGCTGTTGCGC